ATAATTTTAGGAAAATAGAATTAAAAATATCTTATTTCAAGAATATTAAAATAATTGATTAGATGTAATATATATCTAATAATAACTAGAATAAATAGGAAATTAAACAAATGTAATGGTCCAACATAGACTACTTACAAATAGATAAATAATGCTTATGTTTTATTAGTATTAATATTTCAACAAAGAATCTGAGTCTCCATTTATAAAATTTCTCAACTGCATTTCTAAATTCATCAATATTATATTTAATAAAATTGAGTAATTTATTTTCTTATTAATATTTATTTTTTTTCTTATTATGATCATTCTTGGGTATCTATAGATTAATAACTCTGAATCAAAACCTTAAATATAGGCAAATAAAAAGGGAGCAGACTAAAACCCAACTTGTTGAAAACAATGGTTTTCAAAAGAAAACTGTTTAAAGAAACAGGTTATCTGATATATAAGTTAGTCAATATTTTAAACCATGTGGATTTGAAAACAAACAATGTTGATACGGAAAATATGAAATATAAAATAACGTAGTTGGATCATGACGTAATTTTTTTATACACGAATTCCTGAGAAATTGCAACACCGGGTTTCGAGTAATTGACGCTTCAGAAAGGACAAGTTTTCAGCAATGTGTTAGCTTATAACGTTGTTATCAGGTTTACAGCTAGATTTTGTTATCAGGTTTGTGTTTTCTTGTTTATATATGGAACGTTATATATACATCCATTACAAAAAGCAAGCAAAATGTTAATTTTAGTATGCATATTCTTCGCCGACCAGTCTGTCTCACAAGTCACAATCACAAGACGCTACCTGCAATTTTCAAAGTACAAGATATGATGATTAATATTACTTAGAATTTAGTAGCTATATTTATCCAATCATTACTCAAATTAGTGGTCTACAATTTTGAATACGCTCGAAATTTTGTTTCTTATTATGTGAAGTTTGAAATGGTAACTAGCTAGAACATGCACGTATATAATATGGTCATTTATGATATTATAAAAGCACGTTCATCATATCATGGAAGGGCTAACGAAAGTAAGATTTCTAGCCGAGCAAAAAACAAAGGTACCATATAGTTCGAACGTGGAAGAACATCGTTTCATGTGAAACCGCGTTTGTCATACACGCGCTTCCTTGTATCGTACATCAGTCCTATCAAAGTCAGAACGTTATAACAATTTTATAGTACATCGGTATAACCGGTTCACCCACGTGGACGTGCCGGTGCCACCCTAGTGAAACCTTATATATATCCCTCACTCATCGTTCAGTAATCCATATCTCTTAATTCATTACATTTATTTTTTCCTCATTCTATTTCTTTCTCTTATATACAAATAATAAGATCTACTTCTTTGATCTTGTAATCAAGAAAACAACAAAAAAACTAGGGTTTTTTTGGTGGAAGATTTTTTCGCTTTTATAAAAATGAGGCAGTGTATGAAATTTTTCCCACTATTGGCCCTCGTCTTCATAAGCTTAACCGGAACGGCAACGGTAAAGGCTGCGACGGGCTTGAACCCTCCAGTGAAACTGGTTTGGCATTATTACAAAGTTACCAACACTTGTGATGATGCAGAGGCTTATATTCGACACCAAGTCGAAAAGTTTTATAGGAGTGACACTAGCATTGCTCCTAAGCTTCTTCGTCTTCTTTACTCGGATTGTATGGTTAATGTAAGTAAAAGTGTCGTCCTTCTTCTTTTCACTAACTGAAACATCTTCAATTATCTACATTTTTTATAACCTATGGTTTTATCTATGTAAAATGTGTATGCAGGGATGTGATGCTTCGGTTCTTTTGCAAGGACCAAACTCAGAGAGGACAGCTCCACAGAATCGAGGACTTGGAGGTTTTGTGATAATCGATAAAATAAAACAAGTTCTTGAATCACGTTGTCCTGGTGTTGTTTCTTGCGCTGATATACTCAATCTTGCCACTAGAGATGCTGGTCACATGGTAAATATAAAGATACATGTTGTCTTAAAGTGGAGTATCAATCTATTAGTGGATTTTGTAATGATGAGTTTAACTGATTATTGTTGTTTTGGTGGTTTCGATGAAATGATGAGTAGGCCGGAGCACCATCTTATCCTGTGTTCACGGGAAGAAGGGACGGTGGTGCACTAACTGCAGACGCTGTGGATCTCCCGTCACCGTCTATCTCAGTGGAGGAGTCACTGGCATACTTCAATTCCAAAGGTCTTGACGTTTTGGATATGACTACTCTTCTAGGTAAATTACCCTCTCTCTCTCTTTTTTTTTTTTTTTTTCTTTTAGACGCAAGCATCTTTCATCATTTCTTCAAGGGAAACATAATGGTAATTAGGTTAATAGTTATGTTTGCAATAAGATTTATATCTAATGTACTATAATATATTAATTCATATGAATCAACAATCATAAGCATTTTTAAGTAGCTTTTTGTTATTTGTAAACGTAAAAAGCCACTAAAAGATTTTTTTGTTACAATAAATTTTACATCATAACATTTGCAAATGATTTGATTAATTCTCATTGTAGGCAATAATACTTACACCACTATGAAAAATTATATAAGAAAGTGGAGCTAAATTAGAGTAAAATTTCAACAATCTATAATTTTATTGCATATAATGGACACAGGAGCACATTCGATGGGAAAGACACATTGCAGCCACATAGTGAACAGGTTATACAACTTCAAGAACACAGGAAAACCAGACCCGACTATGAACTCGACATTGGTTTCACAGCTTCAATACCTTTGTCCTCCAAGAACACAAAAGGGCCAAACCGATCCACTCGTTTACCTAAACCCAGACTCAGGCTCGAGCAACAGATTCAGCAGCTCTTACTACTCTCGTGTCCTGTCTCATAACGCTGTCTTGGGCGTGGACCAACAGTTGCTCTACAACGATGACTCGAAGGAGATCAGTCAAGAGTTCGCTTCAAGTTTCGAAGATTTCAGAAAATCTTTTGCTTTGGCAATGTCGAGGATGGGATCTATCAATGTGTTGACCGGTAAAGCTGGAGAGATTCGTCGAGATTGCAGAGTTACTAACGCTAACTACGGGGCGTAATATAAATATATGGTATCTTATTTTATGTGTGTATGTGTGATTGTTGTACTATAACCTAAATATTTCTATTATTTTGAAGTTTTTTTTATCAATAAGGACGATGGAGAACAAATAACAGAGATCCAGTTATTTAATTGATCTATTGTAATAATTCTAGAACTAATATAAAAGAAAGAACTATTTTATTTTCTCTATCCAAAATGGTGTTACTATATATATGAATAAAATAAATTTGGATGGTTTTGTTATGATTGCACACAGCCACACACAACTAATATATAGTACTAAAGTGACTTATGTTGTTCTTGGTTTTTGTTTTCCTACAGTAATCTAGTGAAAATTCAAATAGAGTAAAAAAATGATTTTTCGAAAACACACTTATTAACTCTCCAATATATCCTTAAACGATAGGAGCAAAAGAAAGAGTTGATTACTCTATAGGATAAATTTTTGAGTTTCTCTTTCACTTACAAACACTTCTCACATGTGGGATACATTCTTGTTGAGTCAACTGATTTTTTGGACAACTATACTCTTATGAGGTTGACATGTTTCGTTGAGATATTAGCCTAAAGAGAAAATGGGAAATTTGTACTTATTAGCTTTATATTTAATGTTATTATTTTTTCTGATTCCACTAATGTTTTCGTTTACTTTTATCTCAAATTCTAAAATATTAAATTAAATAAATTGTTGTAATAGATTATATATAAAAATTTCTATCTTTTAAGATCTATATTCACACACACATATTCACATATTAACACGGAAGTCTTTGACTAATACTTTTAACAACTTATTTTTAGCCATAGTCTACGTGAAAAGAAACCCACATAACCACGTTTCGACTGTTACTCTTACGACGTCCATCACCACGATTAATTTCCGGTTCCAACTTGTTAAAGGTCTCATCTTTCAATCCATTGTACATCGATCTGCTGAAGACTTTTTCCGCAACCACATCCAATCCAACGCAACTAGCTTGCGATTTCCGATAAGACAGCTCGATTGAGCTCCAAAGGATTGGTCACCATTTAAAAAGATGGATCATATATTTATAGAATAAAAAAAATAAAACAAACCAAAACTGATAATGTGGACATATATGTTTGTGCACAAATAAAAAATGGACACATAATGTTTATACATAAATAAAATAAGGACATATATGTTTTGTGATAGAAAAAAAATGTAAATATCTTGTGGATAAGGTTTCATGAACTAAGTTTCGTGGATGTATTTTCGTGAACACGGTTCATTTTTTTATCAACTTATCATTCATATTTTTCTCAATTGTGTTGTTTTATCCACATGAACTTTCTTAATTTTAATGAAAAATAAATTCTATCCAGTCAATATGTAATATATTTATTTTTGTATTTTTAACATCATTTATTTTTATATTTATATTTATTTGTTCAAAAAGAGAGATATTTATAAGCAAATCACTGAATTTAAAAAGGAGAGAGATTTTGGTTGGGATAGAACCAAAAAAAAAAAATCAAATGAATTTAAATCAAAACAAGTGGACTATCAACACCAAAAAGTATGTCTCAAGCACAATGTGTCTCTATGCATATTTCCAAAAGAAATGCAAGTCATCCTAGGTAATTTCGCAGCTTCACGAATTGAATTAAATAATAATCATAACCAAAGCCAATAAGGTTTCGTGGTGTAGTTGGTTATCACGTCAGTCTAACACACTGAAGGTCTCCAGTTCGAGCCTGGACGAAGCCATTAATATTTCTTTTTTTTGATTACCACCAAAATAAAAAGAATCAAACCTCAAAACGCAGCGTTTTAAAGGACTAAGTTGTTTGGTGTTAACAATCCATCTCGAGTAATAGCCAATGAACACATGACACGTCATCACCAGTTAACGAAATCCTCAAAGAGATAAAGCTATGGCTTTCTCCCCCCTTCCCCCTGAGAGGCTTCAGCTTCCTTGAAGATTAAAAGGGAACTCCTTCATGGCCGTCCGTCTCTTCTCTTCGACGGCTCTCCTCCGTAATTCCATTTTTCTATCAATACTCTCATGTAAAGGAACTTGCTTTCTTCATGTTAAATCAATCAAACTACTTGTGTCTGCTTATTGCAGAGTATCGTCCTGTACCCAACACAGAGGAGGAGGGAAGCTTCTTCCATGTCGCGCCTCGCCGAGTTTTTAATTCTCACCGTCTTAACCCTATTGCTCCTAGGTACTGTGGATACCTTTCTTTCATTACCACTCACTCTGTACTAAACAAAGTTGAGATTTTTAATCCTTTTTTCATTACCAACTACTCTGTTCAAACAAAAGTTGAGATTTTTAATCTTTTTTTTCCGTTAACAATTACTGTCTTCAAACAAAGTTGAGATTTTTAATCTTTTTTTACTGTGTTCAACCAAAGTTGATTTTAATCTTTTTTTTTTTTAAATTACTCTGTTCAAACAAAGTTGAGATTTTTAATTTTTTTTCATTATCAATTACTCTCTGTTCAACCAAAGTTGAGATGCTAGTTCAGTTTTGTCAGTTTTGTAATAAGTGTTGTATTTGTATTCAGTTACCAATTGGTACCGTTTTTGTTATATATGAATCCTAGCTTATAATGGACTTGTGTGTGTGTTTTACTAGGAGTCGACTTCTCAAGTGTAACAGTGACTATTTCACTAGGAAGTTTATGCGGAAGAGCAGGACTCAAGCCATTGCAGAGTATTTGGGTTCAGCTTCAGATCCAAAGAAGCCAAGTTATCATCCTTCTGAAGAAATCAGAGCGTATGTGCCGGAGAATCCTAGAGATTCTAGGCTTCCACCTGCTGTAACCGCTAGAACCATCATTGAGGTATTATAATATGACTTCTTTCAATCATCCAAAGACACAATTTTTGTAGAAACCCTTTAACTAAAGGAACACAAAAACCGTAGAAACCTTGCTTTGCTGATAACAGACCTTGGTTTTGCGCATCTGACATTTTGCGTAGTGTGTCTTGTTCAGGTGAACAAAAAAGGAACCTTGATGCTTTCAGGTTTACTTGGTATTGGACTACATGAGAACATTCTCTGGCCTGATATTCCTTATGTAACAGATCAGCATGGAAGTAAGAAACCTTTCTTCCTATTTATTCACTTGGCTTATTACTTGTTAGTACTGTCAAGCATTGAATTTACCCTTATGCTTTGCAGATATATACTTTCAAGTTAAGGAAAACGAGGACATAATGCAAACTCTTGTTACTTCTGACAACAACTATGTGGTATGTTATTTCTTTCTCCCCCTGGATACTCATGCATGGGAGATATAGTTGTAATAAGTTATGTATGCAATGCAGCAAGTAATAGTAGGTTTTGATACGATGGAGATGATCAAGGACATGGAGCTGAGTACTCCCTCTGGTATTGGTTTCGAGATTGAAGAGATGGAAGGTGGTATAAGTGAAGTGGAGGATGAAAACAAGAGGGATAAGGATGAAGATGAAGGAGAAGAAGACAAAGATGATGAGGTTTGTAAATTTTATTTAATCTTTTTTGTTTTGTCTCAATTATCTCTAGAAGACTTAAACTAGATATTTTGATCATGACTTCAGGAATGGGTTGCTGTTCTAGAAGATGGGGATGAAGACGATGATGATTATGTTTCAGACTCTGATGAATCACTTGGAGACTGGGCAAACTTGGAAACTATGAGAAATTGTCATCCTATGTATTTTGCCAGGAGGATAGCTGAGGTTACTCACTTGCAGTCTCCACAACTGATTTTGTAATTTATGAGAAAGATTATAAAAAAAACTTAGTTTCTTTGCTTAAACTTTAAACACAGGTTGCGTCAAAGGATCCTTTGAATTGGATGGAGCAACCCTCTGCTGGTCTTGCTATCCAGGGGCTCTTGAGTCGTGTCTTTGTGAAAGATCACTCAGATATCTCTGATCCTAAGTCTACAAGTCCTGACAATAACAAGGAAAGAGAAAAATCAGGAGAGAAAATTGAAGATAGTTATGAAAGTGAGATAGTGGAGCTTGAGAATTCGAGAAATGCCATATCTTATTACAAGCTGGAGATGAATAAGATCCAGCTCATCACAGCACAGGGGCATCAGGTTTGTGATCAAACGACACAAAGTTTGTCTATGTTCTGAGTAATCTCTCTCTTTTAGAAATAGTCTGAAGCTTTTGTTCGGTTGTGTTATTTTTGCTTTTTAACAGACTCAAGTGGAAGTGGAAGATGTCAGAAAAGCAAAACCTGATGCTGTTGCTCTTGCATCAGACGGGATTGTGAGTCGTTTAGAAGAAGATGGCGATAAACTAACGGAAGCACTCAAATCTCTGTGTTGGAGACATAATGGGATTCAAGCAGAGGTAAAAAAAAGGTCTCAAGTCTTCAGGTCTATGTTGCCATGATCATTAATTCATTAATATGTCGGCAATGTAGGAAGTGAAGCTCATTGGTATAGATTCACTTGGTTTCGACCTCAGACTTTGCTCGGGGATGCAAATTGAGTCATTACGGTTTGCATTCTTAACAAGAGTAAGTCCTTAAACTCTGTTTAATGATCGATGTATCACAAGATCAGGCCTATGAGCGGACATAACAATTTCACTAAGGTTAATGTTTCTGGTGAACTCTGTATTTGCAGGCAACATCAGTACACAATGCTGAGGGACAGCTGAGAGAATTATTGTTCTCTTCCACACCTCACAAGCCGAAGCAAACGGGTCCAAAGGAGTCTTGGTAATGTGGTAAAAGCTCAGAAAGCATCAAGAAACAAATTCAAACACAATATTTGCATATGAACAGATCTTTCTTCATGCATCAAAACATGAAGTAACTACTATCAACGGTAATGACCGTTGAAGTTTTCAATGTTGGCTTGTTGGAGATTGGCAGATGAAGTCTCAGTCTCCTGTTGTTTGATGTTTTTAATTGATTCTTGATGGTGTATCTTTGTATTATGTGTGATTCTCATACGTACGATCTTTAGGTCCATCAGTTTTGGATTAAGTGTCATTTGTTAGTAGGTTTATAGCTTGACCTACACGTCAAGCAAAAAATGTCAACGCATTTACTTGATCAAGAGAGTTACAAAGAAAGTCAACACGTTTTATGTTTAGGCTTATAAAAACAGCTACAAATTATCCTCAGATCAAAGTCAGAGAAGAAAGGAAAATGGCGAAATGGTCAGAGTTGCCATCCGAGATCCTCTACTCTATCTCCCTGAGCATGAACAACCCCTTTGATCTGATCCATTTCCGGTCAGTATGTTCCTTTTGGAGATCCTCTAGCCTCCTCAAATTTCGACCGAAGACGCCACTTAGATGTCCTCCTCCCCTAGACTCTGGTGGTTGTGGTGATGATTGCCATATCTTGAGAAGCCGCATTTACCTTGTCAAGTCCTCTGATCGCAACGGTCCTCCTCGATACTGGTAAGTGGTAACAAAAAAGGAGAAATTCTTTTTAACTGATTCTTGAATCTTGATAAAACTTAGATAAGGAGTTTAATCCTGACAGGCTGTTTAAGCAACTAGATAAAGAGAACGGAGATATAGTTCTACATAACTTGTTCATGAGAAGAAACTCCTCTGGGTATAGATGTTTGTTTCCAACTTTCTCACTTGACTTGCTCAGCTGCCAAGTCTTTGAGTTAGTTCAAGAACATATTGCATGTTTCAGCGAATGGTCCGAAATTTTCGAATGCGTGTGGAAAGGGGAAGTGCGTATTGGCTTTATGAGTTTAAAAGCAGAGAACAACGAGTTTATGGTTCTAGGGCACCTCACATTCACGACTCCCGACATCACCATGTATAGATCAATCGATAGGTGTTGGACTGACCTCAAGATAGCACAACCCGACGCATATCTTGAAGGGATAGTTTCATATAAAAGTAAGTTTTACGCCATAGATCGCACCGGGAGAACAATAGTTGTAGAGCCAACTCTAGAGGTGACTACATTTCAGCGGTCTAGGCCGTGTGATAAGACAAGGAAACGTTGGGTAAGGAAGACTAAAACACTTTTATAACCCTTCTTGAGCTTTTAAGTTTTCTTTGACAAAGTTACAAACTCTAGTTTTATAGTCATTGTTTGCTATTTTCATACGTTATATATGTTCAACGTACAGCTTCTAAACTCAGGGGACAAGGTCCTTCTCGTCGAGATGTGCACAGAGACGCGTTCCGATTTTTTCATAGCATATATACCGGAGAAGAAGATATGGTTCGAAGTTTCAGAACTAGACGAGAAAAGATACGACTGGAATCAAGTGGAAGATGTGGATGGTCGCGTGCTGTTCTTGGAGAACTTTTGCTCCTTTTCGTGCTTGGCTACTGAGATTCAGGGGTTTAAAGCAAACTCTATAATCTTTTTGGACCTGTGGGGACGAACTAATTTGAGTGAACTTGAAAGCATTCTTGTGTATGAATTCGATGAGAACGGCGTTAGATCTTTAGAAGATATTCCAGAGTATGTTGAGTTGTTTCCATCTCCTCCTGGTTGGGTAATCTCAAATGCATGATCTTATTACATCCACGAACTTGATGTCATTTTTAAAAAAGTTGTATGTACTAAGATTTTTTCTTGTGTTGTAAAATGTTGTCTGCTAATTACACTTTTATGAACGTCTTAAGTGGCAAGAAAATATGGATCTCGTGATGATTAATCTTTGCATCCAGAAAACTTTTAGTATCACATTACGGTTATCAGAAGAAAAAAATTATGATTTTAATATTTTATTTCATAATTATGGAAAACATAAGTTTCATTGGAACCAATAGAGTTCTATTATAATCAGCAAGGCTTTAGTCCCAAAACATTTTATGCTATAAAGAAGAAGGTCATTCTCTTCTCATCAATACACGTCATATTATGATGTCACTAATTTAGACCAACACTTAACACGTGTCCATTTTCCATGAAACTTTGCATTTCATTTAATCAGTTTTGGGTTCATTTGGGCATCAAATATATGGGCTGGGTATACACTAATTTGAGTCCATATATTTTAAGATAGATCCACAAAAGAAACGCTGCGTTTTTATTAGGATGAAACTGAGATGTTGCAGCTTGAGAATTCGAGAAATGCCATATCTTATTACAAGCTGGAGATGAATAAGATCCAGCTCATCACAGCACATGGGAGTCAGGTTTGTGATCAAACAACACAAAGTTTGTCTATGTTTTGAGTAACTCTCTCTCTTTTAGAAACAGTCTGAAGCTTTTGTTCGGTTGTGTTATTTTTGCTTTTGAACAGACTCAAGTGGAAGTGGAAGATGTCAGAAAAGCACAACCTGATGCTGTTGCTCTTGCATCAGACGGGATTGTGAGTCGTTTAGAAGAAGATGGCGTTAAACTAACTGAAGCACTCAAATCCCTGTGTTGGAGACATAACGGGATTCAAGCAGATGTAAAAAAAAGTTGTTTGAGTCTACAGGTCTATGTTGCCATGATCATTAATAATTCATTATTATGTTGGCAATGTAGGAAGTGAAGCTCATCGGTATAGATTCACTTGGTTTCGACCTCAGACTTTGCTCGGGGATGCAAATTGAGACATTACGGTTTGCATTCTTAACAAGGGTAAGTCCTTAAACTCTGTTTAGTGATCGATATGGTAACATAAGAATATCACAAGATTAGGCCTATGAGTTGACATAACATTTTCACTAAGATTAATGTTTCTTGTGAACTCTGTATTTGCAGGCAACATCAGTACACAGTGCTGAGGGACAGTTGAGAGAATTATTATTCGCTTCCACACCTCATAAACCAAAGCAAACGAGTCCAAAGGAATCTTGGTGATGTAGTAAAAAGTCAAAGAAACAAATTCAACCGCAATATTTGCATATCAACATATTCAAACTTGAAGTAACTCCTGTAAGCGGTCGATAAAAAGATTTCAATGTTGGTTTGTTAGAGATTGGCAGATGAAGTCTCTATCTCCTGTTGTTGGATGTTTTTCAGTTGATTCTTGATGATGTATAATCTCAATGTTTTACAAATCTCTTACAAACTCATAAGACTCACCCATTATACAATACTCTTGCATCTCTTTATAGATAGTAGAGTCACCCATCTACTATTGGTATAGCCCAAAAGTTTAGGTACTTTGGCTGACGTATGCTCAAACAGAAGCCCATATATATTACTACCTTGTAAGTATCTCAGTAGCTGCTTCCTTGCAACTCCATGTGACTCTACATATATCTACTCAATAATCCAACGCTAAAAGATAGGTCAGGTCTTGTGTGTAATAAATAGTGCAAACACCTAACATTCTTCCTATACATTGTGGCATCAATCTCTCTCTCGCCTTCTGACTTCGACAACTTCAGACCAAGTTCCATTGGTGTCGCAACTGAGTTACACTTAATCATCCCCGCATCTTCCAATATCTTTGTCGCATAGCGCATTTGATTCAAATGAATTCCACTTTCATATTGACATACCTATATACCTAGATAGTATGTTAACTTCCCAAGATCACTCATGTCGAACTTTCTTGACATGTTGTCTTTAAACTCATCAATCATCCTTTTGTTGGTTCCGGTGACAAAGAGATCATCCACATACACAACAACAACGAGAAGATCTTCGTTTAAGGATTTACGATACACCGAAGGTTCTTTTGCGCATTTCTTGAATCCAAGTTCGCAGAGTATTTGATTCAACTTATTGTTCCAAGCTCTTCGAGCTTTCCTTAACCCGTATAAGGCTTTATTTAGCTTGTAGACCTTATTCTCGCATCCTTTCCTTACGAAGCCTTCAGGTTGTGTAACATAGACAGTTTTTTTTAATTCTCCATGAAGAAAATTGGTTTTAATGTTTATGTGATGCACTTCCCATCCGTTTGTTGCTGCTAAATTAATCAGGAGTCTTATTGTCTCAGTCCGAGCGACTAGAGAAAATACTTCATCGAAGTCTATTCCATGGCGTTTGTACGTATCTTTTTTCTAATAGTCGAGCCTTGAATTTTTTGATATTCCCATCAGAGTTTCGCTTAATTTTAAAAATCCACTTGAGACCAATTAGTTTAGCTGCACTCGGTAAATCCGCAAGAATCCATGTCCCATTTTTCTCAATAGACTCGTTTCATCTTCACATGCTTTTGTCCATTTCACACTCCTTTGCTTCATCAAAACTTCTTGGCTCGTTATTCAGAAACAATAATATCTCTTCTACTAGCTCTTCCGTCAAGAGTACATAATCTTCCAAATATTTTGGTTTTGTTGTTTTTCTTCCTGACCTTCACAGAGGCTGTTCTCTGTTTCTTCTTCGGGCTTCTTCTTCTGTTACGAGCTCGTTATCACATATTGCTTGTATGTCCGTGTTTCCAGTAGCTTTGTGGGATTATGGAGAGATATTGTCTGGATACTCGGTTAAGCCGTGACCGTATGTCACTATGAAAGTCTTCGCTATGCTTCTCAGTACTCTCCTTGCTCCAGTCCCATCCTTTTGCCTCATCAAAAACAACATCGCGGCTTGCTTTTATTTTTCTCGTTATTGGATCATACAAACGGTATGCTTTCAATCAAGGTTCAGTTCCTAGATGGACCAGCATGAGTGATCGATCGTCAAGCTTCTTTAACTTCTCTCCTTCTACCTTTGCATACCCGATACATCCAAAAACTTGTAGGTGAACTATGTTGGGTCTTTTACTCCGATATAACTCATACAGTGTCATCTCCTTCAAAGCTCGAGTAGCCATATGATTTAGTAGATATGTCAAGTGGCGTATGGCTTCTCCCCAGAACTGATTTGGCATTTTCATATGTTTAAGAATACTTCTTTCCATCTCCATCAAGGTTCTGTTCCATCACTCTACTACTCCGTTTTGTTGGGATGTATATGGTGTGGTGAGATGCCGTTTTATACTCATACTCTCGCAATATGCGTTAAACTCGTTGATACGAACTCACCTGTTCTGAAGGTTTGAATCTTTTCCCATGTTTCTTGCTCCACTAGACTTCTTAACTTCTTGAATTGTCTAAAAATTTTGCTCTTTTCTCTCAAGGGAATGGTCCACAAGTATCTGGTATGATAACCTATGATCACGAAGACATATATGTTCCCGCATGGTGTGCATGGTGTTATAGGTCCGCAAAGATCTCCGTGTGAAAGCTCCAATCTCTTATTAGCTCGGTACGTTGTCAATACAAGAAAACACCGCAATTCTGACGGCTATTCCGACGGAAAATGTATTCCTCGGAAAATTCTGAGGACATTCCGAGGAAATTCTGAGGAAACACAAATTTAAGGTTTCCTCGGAATATACCGATGGAATACCGAGGAAACCCGGTTCCTCGGAAAAAACTGACGAAATTCCAAGGAAATTCCGGGGAAATTCTGAGGAAACCCAAATTTCGGATTTCGTCGGAATTTCCACGGAATATCTCGACGGAATTCTGAGGAAAACCTTTTCCTCGGGAAAAACCGACGAAAATCCGAGGATTTATTATAGCCGTTGGGGGATTTTAAAAATTCCGAGGAACTAGCCGTTTCCGTCGTAATTTCCTCAGAATTGTCGGCAGATTTCATCTATAAATACAAGCACCCTCATCCTATTCATTCACTCCATATCTTCATCCTCTCACATACTATTTTACACACGAATTTGATTGAAAAAACATGTCTTCTTCTAATTATTTTCGTTCTTGGATCGATAGACCTCATTTGGATCCTAACACGAGATTGCTAACGGAAGAGTACCAAAGAGGTTTAGGCGAATTCATGGCGTTAGTTCAACGACAACCGGAAGCGAAAACGGGTATGTTAAGATGTCCTTGCTCTACTTGTAAAAATAAAAAGGTTATAAAAGAGTTAGATGTTTGGACTCATCTATATTTGAGAGGGTTTACACGAAGTTACAAAGTTTGGTATCATCATGGAGAAACTGATTATGAATATGGTAGTACTAGCGAACCTCAGCCTGCGGTTAGGTTAGAAGAACGGAT